CCAGATGGATATGCGGAGCAAATCCATCAGTGCGGCTTATAGTGAGGTGCGCTCTATAGACTAGAAAATACCTTATATCACATAGAGATGACTTACTGACTCCACGTCCCCCATCTCTGGTACATGGACGATCTGTACAATTTCCAATATTCTGGAAACCTTACATAAATGCTTTAAATATGTTGGTATATGTGTAATGAATCTGATAAATTAGTTGTTTTGTTTTGTTAAGTTGAGATGCACCTATTGATGCACTGTAGGCTTCAGATATGTTTGAATCGCTGCTTTCTGTCCCTGCAGGAGAATCCAGAGCCGGACCGGGCCAGCATCTACCACTCTGTCATCATCAACACCTCCAAAGAGATGATGTGCTTCAGTGACTTTCCCATCCCTGCACACTTCCCAAACTTCATGCACAACTCCCTCATTATGGAATACTTCCGGATGTACGTCAACCATTTCCAGCTCGCCAAACACATCCGCTTTAACGTAAGGAAACATCGCCAAGCTTCTCTCTCTCATAAATGCGGATCTTCTCTTCAGCTGACTGTTTCTATGTGTGTCGCAGACCCGCGTCCTGAACATAAAGAAGAGATCCGACTTTTCGCGTTCTGGTCAGTGGGATGTTGAAACGGAGAACAAGGATGGCAAAAGGGAGAAACACATTTTTGATGCTGTAATGATCTGCATTGGACATCACTGCCAGCCTAACCTGCCCCTCCATGATTTCCCAGGTAACACTTCATTAAAGTATTTATGCCACTTGACGGTTTTCATGTTTGCCCACATTACAACAACATACTTAAAGGTATTTTAGGTGATAGTTCAGCCCAAAGTTGTGCATAATTGTGAGACATGTTTTTCAGTTTTGTTTTTGTTGTTTTTTGTTGCAACCAAAAATGCATTTACATTTTACACTGTTTGCTCTTTTATCTCTGAACAAATACATTTCAGTGTAAGAAGTTTCCTTTAAAGTACATTTATTTTGTGAAAAGAGTTTTTGTGTGTGATGGGGTTTGGTTATTGAACGGCCGAAAGGTTGAATAAGCTTATCAGGAATGGCAGGATGGGGCTTCAGTCCAGTCCAGATGGTGTGAGGCAGAAGCAGAAATAACATCTCTATCCTCTTCATTCACAAAGCTGTAGCAGAACTGCAGAGCTCCTTCATTGATAGACTGCTGCATCCATCACAGGCGTAGCCTGAACATTTGTATACGCGTTGCCAGGCAATAAGCAATGTAGACTGAGATATGCACCAGAACCTCAGGGTTAATCTACACTGTTCCTACTGGAAAATTAAAACGCACAATATCCATATTTTCTAAATAAAGACTATACTTAATAACTATACTTTCCTACAGCCTTTCCTAACAAATAAACACATATATTTAAACATCTGTGCTTTCGAGATAAAAGGTATAGAGGAGACAATTCTTTCAGGTTTGAGTTCTGGGGCAAACATCTCTTCCATTATCATTGCTTAACGACTTTTATCAATAATCATTCTGCATAAAATTGATATTTACAAGAACTAATATCTCCTTACATTTATTATTCAATAACTTTTTATTGAAATACTTATTCATCTGTGATTTCACAGAACAGATGACTTGCAGAGATGCATCATTTTCTCTTTACCCCATAAAACACAAAATCTAGTTCTGAA